ATTGGCCTGTAGGAGTTTGGGTAGTTTATTGTCTGTTTTCTTCTGAAGGGAGATGAAGTGATTGTTGAATGTGGTTTGTTGAATTTTAGTAAAGTCTGGGAAAGATGAAATGGGTGTGGGGAAGCTTGTTTTTTTTATGACAGTTTCTAATCTTGAGAGCTCCTCCTTGATTGTCTTCTGTATGTATAGAATGCTGATAAGTTTCTTTGTGAGAGTGTGGCATAATCTCTGGCTGTAGTCTGTGGGATACGTAGATTGCATTTTTCACCCTCAGTCTCTCTATCATAATCATCCAGGAACCCACCCCACAGTCAGCCTCGGTGTCAACTTTGCACTAGTGATTTCATCACTGGACGCAACCACATCATTCACCACATCAGAGGCTCATTTTAACTGCACATCCACTAATGTGATCTATGCCATCAAATGCCAGCAATGCCCCACTGCCATGTATATTAGCCAAACTGGACAGTCTCTGTGGGAAAGAATTAATGGACACACATCAGATATCAGGAGCCCCACCTCGCTCTTCCCCAGAGTTAGTTTGTCAATCAGCTGCTCTAAAATGTTTTGCTGCCTCTGGATGTGTTCTAATGGAAAAATGTCAAAATATTTATTTAGGGTCTTTCAGTTTCAACAGATGACCACTTAACCTATTTAGAGTTATTCACTGCCTGGATGTGCCTATGGGAGTGTCTTAGTGCATCTTTGAATCTAATGCCATGTGCAGAACTGGCACTTAAGCAGACCCTAGAAAAAGGTCTAAGCTCAGCTGATCAACCGCACAATAGATGACAGAAAAGCGTATCTGTCACTTTTCTGACAGGGATCACCCCCTCTCTTGCTATCTTCATCCCTGGCGTCCAGAAATAGCTGAATAAAGAGATCAGTCAACATCACAGATGGCCATGGCTTGGGGGAGGGAATCAGGCACTCTGGGCACAGCAGGAACAAAGGTCTGAGCTGCCCCAGGACAAAACAAGAGGCTAGACAAGTGGGTATGTGCATGCCAACAGCATGCCATCTTTGATCTGATTTCAGAGCAAAGCTTCTTCCTCTGGAAGAAAGACACCTGGATGAAGGAGCTTTGAATTTAGGATGGAGTAAACCCTGCTGTGCACATGGGGACTTCAAAATACAATGGTTTGAGTCTGAACATAATGTGAAATAATTCTGGGTTGTCTTTGTTTGCAGAGAAGAAACTGAAGGTAGAGGAATCTCACCAGGGTGTCAATGCATACCTGATGGAGTATCCTCTGGACCTCCTAACCAGTTTTCAAGTATGATTCCTAAATGGACACTAAAGCAACAAAATACCCATTTCAGGCTCTGAGTAGATTTTGGTGATCAAAGTGTCTATTGCCAATGATTAGATACTGGGGGGGAGGGGTGCACCAGGGCAGAAGAATGGCCCTTGGCTAGCATAAATTGTGTATAAAGGTCCCAAGTGGGACAAGTGGAAGAACTTGGAAGAGTTGAAGGGCTATCTCATCCTCATCCGTGGGACACGGCATCTGAAAAGCTGTATCTGCCGTTACCTTTTGGGCCAAATTATCTTTTTAATTTAAAAGATTGTAACATCTGAACCTGGTCCTCTTTGGCTGAGGGTTGGGGAGGGGCGAAGGAATTATCTCTTGAAAGGGAAAGTGACCAAAGTAGCTTGATTGTA